TTAATTTTTAAATTAGGGTTAAAAGTTTTTACTGTTTGTGCCATTGACTTAAAAAAAATATCGATCGGATCTTCTTCGTCGTCATTAAGCGCAAGAAACATTTTTTGTCTTTGTTCCATACTTTTTGAAAACAACGCGGCCAGATCTTTTTGTGTTTTTTCATTGGACAGTTTTCTTTTTGCCAATCTTGACTCACCAGTCTCGCCACTAACCATTTCCATCTCTATTTGAGATGTAGATTGTAGTGATTCTACATTCAAATCCATTTGTGAATCTTCATCGTCTACTAAGATATCATTTTCTTCTTTACTGTTGATGTCCTCGCTGGCAATAGTAGTCGTCATTGGCGGGATATTAGACAACCCTCTGAAAAAATTAAATAAATTATAGTAATATTAATATAATATTTGATTGTAAAATATGAATATTATAATATAGCATATTAGGTATGCTTTTATTAAGTATACTAATCATTTTCTAAAGACCTAACCAAATTAATTGACAATAAATAATTATAATAATAACTAATAATACTACATACTCTCGTTCGTAAGAAACAACATCGAGAAATTATAATATGTCAGTGGGTGCCCATTTTGATGGCTAATTTTCTGCCAATGATCCAGTCCCTAATTTTCTTTGCCTTTTGTTTTTGTTATATGTGTCCTTCATGTTCTTCCAGCGTTTTTTACAATCATCATATAAAAAATTGAAATTTCAACATAATAAATAATTAAACTTGAAATAACTTTTTTAAATACCCGCGTTCCACACAACTCCTCGTTTAAAATGTAAATACTTAGAACTCAAAAATTACTCATCCAAAATTTAAATTTAATTTTAGATTCTGAGAGGATCGATGAATGTATTGATTTTACAATGATGTTTGTTTTTTTAAATATTTATTTTTATTTATTTTTTGTCAGTTATCAACTTTTAAGACGGTAAAAGTGATTGGTTATCTTCAACAGTATCTTTTCTGATACGAAAGTGAATCTAGTTGGTACTTTAGGGGGTCAAAAATAAAAATTTCCCAGTAATTTTCAATAACGTAGTGAAAAACGAAAGAAAAATAAAATTAAATAAAAACATTATGACTTATTTTGAGCTGTTTAAAATAAAACTTTATTTGTTGGTTAAAAAATCTTAAAAATGTAAAAGAAGGCTCCTAATATATTGTTTCAAAGACAGATGAAAAATATTAAACATCCATAATCACAACTTTTTTTTATAAGCATTTAAAGTTCAAATTTTGATAAAACGTATCAAATTTAAAATTTAGTAATTATTTTGCATTTAAAAATTTATAAAATGTTCAACTTCTATATCTAAGGATTGAATATTTAAAAAAAAGTTCCACGTAAATAAGTTATATATAAATTACTTTATTCACAATAATATCTTCAAATATACTTAGTAATATCATAGGCTGACTGACCGTCTTCGCTCAAAATCGTTTTTCTTATACAATAATATTATATTAACGCCACCCCACATTACAGTGACCCACTGTACAGAAGATCGACACACACTTGCCCGTGTGATGTGTGGGGGATTAATAATATCACTTTTTTGCATTCGTTTTTTGTATTGAGATTTGAGAATCGAATATTTCAGGTAGTAAACATTCTTTGTAAAATCTGAAAAGTATAATAAATGTTAAACTTAAAAAAATACCTATAGAATTTTATTAATAATTCATATATAGAAACCAAAAAAAAAAATAATATTTGAATTTACTATTTACAAACAATTATATAATTTAAAATTTGATTCCATTTTTTCTTTCTAAAATACTTCTGAGTAATTAATAACTTAGTGTTTGTTCCACTTCAGAGTAAATATAAAAAAATAGCATAAACTCCGTTTTGTGATATGCATAGCCCAAAATTTGATAGTAGTAATTACTGTTTTCATTTAACTTGACTATATGGTTATTATTTATTAAATACGGAATGTTAAAGCAACATTATTATTTTAGTTTATATAACAATTTACAATACATTTTCATCTAAACTATCATTCGAATAAAGTATTTTAGATTCTGAGTGAAACGATGAATGTACAATGATTTTACAATGATGTGTGTGTTTTTTTTATTTTTATTTTTTGTGTCTATCATCACCTTTTAGGACAGTAAAAATGCTTAGAATTTCTTCAACAGTATCTTTCTGATAGGAAAGTGAATTTAGTTGGTACTTTGGGGGTTCAAAAGTAAAAATTTCCCAGTAATTTTCAAAAGCAAAAGAAAAATTAAGGAAAATCGGGAATTTTTACGCAAAATCGGTTTTCCAAAAAATCGATTTTGGTTTTTGGTGTAACCCTTAAACAAATGGCCTTAGATTCAGACATTTTGACTGAACGTTTATATTTTCTATACACCATAACATTTTCTAAATATTTTGAACTGTTTACGGACATTTTCGGTTTCCTTTTTTTTTATTTGTTAGTTAAAAAAGCTTGAAAATGTAATTGAAGGCTACTAGTATATTGTTTGAAAGGCAGATGAAAAAAATTAAAAATCTATAGTCACAATTTTTTTTTTAAACATTTAAAGTTCAAATATTGACAAAATACGTAAAAATGACGAAAATTTCCAAATTATTTTGAGTTAGAACCAAATTCATCAAACTTTTCTTTTTAAATCTAAGATTTGAAAATGTAATACAAGATTATTCATAAGTTTGTTTATCTTCATAAAAAAAAATGTTTTCAAGCAAATCAAATCAAATTAAATTTTTATGAGCGTTTGAATTTCCTATTTTTATGATAGGTAGATATTCATTCGATTTCTCATAAAGCGATTTTGTTATTTTATTGTTTTTTAAAAACGAGTAACTTTAAATACATGAAAATTATAGGTACTGAATGTTTATATTTTCATTTTCTATATACCATTTTGAAGCTTGTTTAAATCCATAAAATGATTTATTTAATTTCAAAATTAGAAATATAGTTTACACCTTCAGGTTTCTCAATGTAAATATTTTCAGTTAAAATTTCATAATGAAAAGCAGTTTTGACATCTAATTGTTGGAGAAACCAATTGTGTTTAACTGCTATTGCAAGGAGTGTGCGTAGAGTTGTTAGTTTTGCAACAGGAGTGTAGGTGTCATAATAGTCAACTCCTTCCTTTTGAGAAAAACCTTGTGCAACTAGTACTGCTTTGTACTTCTTAACACTACCGATGGAATCACGTTTGATTTTAAAAACCCATTTGGTACCAACCGCTTTCATACCTTTTGGTAGATGAGATAATGTCCATGTGTTGTTTTTCTTAAGAGAATCAATTTCATCTTAAATTGCATTTTTCCAAAGATTAGCATGAACACCTGTAAATGCTGATGAATATGTTTTTGGTACATCATCAATTAAGTCAATGACAGACAATACTAAATGAGACATAACATAATCGTTATATTTTGTTTAGTAACTTGGCGGCCGCTTCTGGTTTTGGTTGGAACTGTTGATTTTACATCTTGATCCCAATCCTCCTTAAACTGCTTTTATCAATATTATCATTATTTAGAACTATACGGTTAACGATGATTTCTGGTGGTTTATTTTGATATGTTTTTTCATAAAAAATGACACTTCGACCAAGTACTATTGTCTATTTTAAAGGGTGCCTTACCTATAGCCAGTAACACTATAACCAACCATAGTACATTGAACAGTTTTTGAATCCAATTTTTTTCTTAATTGCTTTGGTATTTGTAAGAATGCTTTACAAAAAAACAGTCGTATATTAGAAAGAGTTGGTTTAGATTTATACCAAAACTCTTGTCTTTTTAATGCACTAGTTGGACATCGATTTATTAAATATACTGCTGTGTATACTGCTTCACCCCAGAATCCTTTGTTTATACCTGAATCAAAAATCAATGCTCTAGCCTTTTCCATAATGGTACGATTCATTCTTTCAGCAACATAGTTTTGTTGTGGTGTGTATGGAAATGTATATTGTAATTCTATTTCCTTTTGAACACTGAAGCTTTTAAAATCATTATTATAATACTCGCCACGACCATTATCACAACGAATACGAGATATCATTTGTAAAAAACGTGCTGTAACATTAGCTTCATACTATTTAAATGCATTGAAAACTTCATTTTTCTTTGACAATAGATAAATTACTGTAAAATATGTATTATCATCAATAAAAGAAACATAGTACCTTTTATTATCCCATGTCTGAGGTTCAATTGGTCCACAGACATCTGAATGAATAAGTTCTAATGGTCTTGTTCCTCGCACTCTAGTTCCAGAAAATGGTAATGCTGCTTGTTTACTACTGTTGCAGACTTCACATATTTCATTGTACTTTTCATTATTGATACACAGACCATCCACAATATCAGGCAGATTTTCTAGTGTTTGAAAATGTAAATGCCCAAGTCTTCTATGCCAGAGATCAATAGTATTTGAATAACTAGAATTTTCAAATGACATATTTTGATTTAAGCTAAATGTAAGTAAATATAAGTAATGTAAATATTTAAGAATAACACAATTTCATATAAAGGGTATAAAATATGATTGCATGTATTGACCTTTACATGTGTAATATACTGGTGGCTCCAACAGCTACTAGTATATTAACAGTTGCAGGCAACTAGACCTTTTACTGTGAAGATGAGGTAGTCGTTGAATAATAATAACACAAATGCCAAAATTATATTGTTGTTTATTAAGTTCCAACAATTACAATGGTCAGTGGCGGACTGGGAGTAAAAAACAGCCCGGGAAAATCATCATTTTAGAGGCCCTCAGTAATTAACGGCCCTATAATATATAATATGTATATTTTTTTATGTAAAAACAATTTTACTATACATTTTTTTAAATATTTTAATTAATTGATATAAAACAAAATAAAATAATTATTATACATTTAAAATTTGTTAGAGTATATCTGTAATTGTTATGTTTATAAAAATAATAATAAAATAATATAATATATAATATATATATATATTACTACAATCAATTTGATTTTAGTAAGAAAGTTTATTATTTAATAAATCACTTTTAGTTTTTAACATATTAATAATATCATCATTATCAATACTAAATAAAACATTTTTTTCGACTGCCATCATCATAAATGCGTCCAATTTATCTTCACCCATTGAATTTCTCAGACGAGTTTTAATTATTTTCAACAGAGAAAATGATCTTTCGCATGCTACCTATATTAATAATTTTAATGAAAATTCTTTTAGATCTTTCAAATAAAATACATACAAATTATTGATATATTCTAACTGTTTACTTACTTGAGTACACGGCAATGTCAATAAGTATTGATAAGCCATGGTCAAGCAATGATATGCATTACTATATAAATTATATTTTATAAGAACATTATAGCAGCATACCACACAATTCTTGCAGGATTTACATTCTAATTTATCAGTGTTATTTTTGTTATTATTTTCTTCAATTTCATTTTCACTTTCAATTTCATTTAATTGCATATCAAATGATTCTGGTAATGATTTTTTTAATCCATTCCAATATTTAATAAAGCTATGCAATTCCGCTTTTAGTTGATCATAACTTATATCAGAATCAAATTTGCATAAAACGTCATACAATTTTTTTAAAGCATTTGGTGGTAAATTTTGTTTTTGCAACTCTTCAAAATTTTTGGGTGATAAAAAATTTAAATCCTTATACAAAGACTTATTAATTGAAAATTTCTTTTCTATACTAGATATGGTTTGATCTAAAATTACATTATATACTTCAACACTATATTTTTTTTCAAGGCATAATATGGGTTCATCTTTATTGTTTTCATCAAATAATTTTTTGCGAAGGCGACATCTTTTATTTGGAAATTCATTCTCAATTAATACATCCCTATCATGTTTTTCATCAAATTGTTCATTTATATATTTTATAAAATTATCGGCTTCTAATTTTACATCTCCAAAATGTCTTTGAATTTGTTTTAACTGTGTTAATGCACAATTGACCAACTCCTGGGCCTTTATCAAATTCATACCCTTGGTCTGAAGGTATCTAGATAATGGACCAAGAATTTTGAACATATTTATAAAAATAAATGCCGTTAAAATAGTTTTGTATTGTAAAAGGGATTCTTTAAAATTTCTGGCCTTCACTTTGATATCAGAGTTAAAGGATTCTGACAACTCAATAGTATTTAATGCTATAATTAGAGCAATGTACAAAGCACCCTCCAAAAATTCGGTCTAATGCCTTTTCTTTGGACCACCAGCGTGTGTTTCCAATCGTTGCTAGTCGTCTTTTGTCATTTTCCCCAATGATTGATTTCCAGACATTCATACGTTTGTATAATTCTTTAAAATAAACAGCAATATCGTTTAGTAAAACAAATAATGAAGCTGTCGGTAGTGTTATACTTGTAGCATCAATTAAAACTAAATTTAAAATGTGACTATAACACCAAACGTGCACTTGATTGGGTGATGATTTAGATAGCCAAGCAGAAAACCCATTGTATTTGCCTTGCATATTTGCTGCTCCGTCCGTAGCATTCCCTATACAATTTTTAATGTCAAGTCCATTTTTAGTTAAAATATCTTCCAACATAGTATGAAAGCTCTTCCCTTTTGAATCTTGCATAGTAACTACTGCAAATAATTTTTCATTAACACCAATCATATTGACATATCGTATAATGATTGAGCATTGATCTTGAACTGAAATGTCTTGTGTTGTATCTATTTGAATGGAAAACATACCAGCTGCTTGAACTTCCATAACTATTGATTTTTTCATCAACATATTAATTATATCAATTATTACATTAATAGTATTTTTTGATAAAAAAGTTATTAACGACCCTCTACCTTGAACAGTTGTTGACTTATGACATGCATATTTTACTTGAGCACATTTAACTGTTTTATCAATATGCTCACTTAATACAATGTCATATTTTTTTTAAAGTAATATTATATCAAGAAAACTACCATGGTCTGCAACAGGGTCTAATAACGATAATGTGGACTCATTCCTATGACTTCGGTAACTAAGACCTCTTTTGCCTATTAATTTTATAACATCAATTATTCTTTCAATTATTTGAATATTTTTCTTTGCCTCTTCTTTTTTATTATTTTTTTGTGTAAAAAATAATAAAAAATCAATATTTTTTTTTTTGAAAATGTAAGATATGCTTCAGAACAATTTCTATGATTATTACTGTTTTTGTGTTCCTCAATACGCTGATAAACATGTTTCCATACATTAAGTCCTTGTGTGAATACATTTGGCTCTGAAGAAAATGCCAAACATACAGTATATTGTACAACTGCAGTATATTGTCATTGATTTATTATTAAAAGTCAACCAACACCGATTTGATTTATTTTTTCTAAAATATGCTATGGATGATTTAAATAAATGTTCAACAAGTGGTTGAATAGGATGGAATTCAAAAAATTTATCAAGGTTATTCTGAGATGGTTTTTGAAAATAATTATTTGAGTCAATACATACTTCATTATGTACATTTTTATAGAGGACATTATCTTGTTTATCCATAATTATTGTGTCCTACAATTATGTCACACAATAATTATTATCTACAGGATACAACATACCAATTAAATATATATTTCATAAAACTTATTTATTATACTTACATTTTCAGCCATAGCTGTAACTACAACATCTTCAAAAACATTATCCTTAGAATTGTTATCATTATTGTCATGACCAGTTTTTATCATATCTAAACTAAGTCCATCAACACTCTACAAATAGTAAAATGTATATAAACATTTATTTTATTGCAAATAATTTTATTTAAATTGAAAACTGATTCATTATTAATACTATTATTTATAGTCAATCAATAGGTAAAATAGGTCAATAGGTATTTGAAATAAATTATAAGAAACTAGTTTATTTTCTTCTTACTTTTTCAGTTTCTTCTGTAGCTGTAACTTCTTCAAAAACATTATTGTTTAAATTTTTATCATTATCGTCATTAACAATATTTCTCATATCTGAACTATGTCCATCAACACTCTACAAATAGTAAATTGTACATAAACACATAATAATAAAATAATTTACATTTTATTTAGGTATTTATATTTATTTTTTTCTTCTGTTCAGTTTTCAATTGCACTAGTAGGATACAATCAATTGGCAAAAATATAATTTAAATTTGTATCATTAATGCTACTAACCATATTTCTAATTTCTGTATTGAATTTATTAATAGATACTTTAAAAATAATTAATTTGAAAAATAGACCTTAAGAAGTACAATTTAAATTAAAAAAATTATAACATTAGTTATTGCTTATTATTTATTAACTAAATGTCTAAACAGCATAATAAATACATTTTATTTTACCTACCTTTTTATTTAGAGATTGTTTTTGTGGTTTAAATAGTTCATCTAGTGTCAAACATTGTTTTGCTGAGGCCAACAACAGCTTTTTGTTTTTATCTCTTGCTTTTTCTGCACCACCTTTCCTTTTATTAACTATTGCTTTTTGTTCTTCACTCATTATTGAAAATCGTAAAATATAAAATATGAATACTGAATAGTAAACAATTAAAACGTTAATAAATAATATTTAAAACAATGAATAAAACCTCATCAGTATTCACATTACTAACACTTAAAACACTAAACAGTGAAAAACGAAAAAAAAATATAATATAAAATGTGTAATGTGATGTCAATGATGTCATTGCGATTTGCGACAGCGCGATGATAACAATTATTATTTTATTCGTTATCGCCTATCCATCGCCTATTCGCCTATAACGGCCCATGTAATAACTATTTTCGATTCTATTTTTAAACTTGTAACAATAAGTTGTCAACAAGCCCGGACCGGCCGAACACGAGCCAGTCCCGCAATAATCAGAAATCTGGGTTTTTAAGTTTAATAATATAACATACTTATTAGTAAGTTATTACTTATTAGATAATAGTTTAATTTATAATTTCACAATAATAATATTAATAAATATATATTTTATACGAGCAGCGGCCCACCGGGAAATTTCCCGGTATCCCGGTCGTCCAGTCCGCCACTGACAATGGTGCTAAGTCCAAAAATGACAATCGTTACATGGAGCTGCGTGAAGGTGCTTGCAGTAGCGTTGAGTGTACACGTCTGAATACAGGCCATTTCGGGGTCCCTCTTATAGTTAGGTCTCCGCTCCCCTTGCCTAGTGATACGGTATCTTTGTTCCAGCGGATGTGGGCTATGTGGCCTTCGACCTAACTACGCATTTGCGAAATTGCTAATTTATTACCCGCATTATTAATATATATATTGTATGATAATTTGTGAACTGTCAATTCAATAAAATCATCATGCTGTTTTATTTTATATTATATTTCCTTGTAAAATAAAGCTATCGCATATAATATATATATACGTATGTTATATTATATGTTATAATATAATTGATGATATATATATATCGCCCGAATATTCTACATGATTGCAAACCCGCACTGGTCGTGTAATATTATTTCAACCAGTTAGGTTAATAAGTTTTTGTTTAATACATCTGCCCATTACCTATCTACCGTATATTATGTTAAGTATGCTACCCGTAGAGACTTCGAATGTTGCGTAGTAACTTGCTTACTACATCTCCCCCTTTAAAAGTTCATTTTTATCGTCTAAACGAGAAAAATGAACTCAATTTAACTTTTTGTTAATTTCCGTTACTTCAAGCACCTTCTTATAGAAAAATTTTTTACACACATTAATTATTACATTTTTATGTTTCCATATGTTTGTTTACAATTATATGATTTGGATACATTATTGTTTACAAATATTCACAGTACAATATTATTTTATCAAAAATATAAAGTACAATATTATTAGGTATCAACAAAAAAAATATAAAGTACAATCCACTATATATTCTTTTGATATTATATGTGTTACAATATTGACATTATATTACTGTTAAGTTATTACAATATAAATTTAATTATTATTTGTGTTAGTATTCTCTATGTTTACAACATATTTTTATTATTATTATTTTTTTCACAATTATAATCTTATCTTAGTGTTAGTTTGTTGATATAATATGAATTCTTAATCCTATTACAATATATTCTTTTTCATGCAATATATATATATATATATATATCATATTAATACGTATTTTCCCAACACCATGTTAATAATTATAGTTCCTTTATTTATTACGTTTATCTTTTATTATTCTTATAAAATTTATTCTTAAATTATCCTTTTTTTTTTTTTTTAATTTTTTTTTTTAAATTTTTTTAAAAATTTTTTTTTCCTATAATATATATATTTCCCATAACTTTATCCTTATCTAGCATATAGTTCCTAATTATCATTTGTCCTTATATATTTTACTACAGTTCCAGACCAGCAATAAACTATTCAGTCAAAGTTGTTAATATAGTTCAATATAATTAATAACATTATTATTATCCTTATTCTAAACCTAATGATTTTGTATAATTATTCTATCTTAGAATTGTTAATAATTATTTAACCTGCTAATTATTATATAATATATATTAATTTATTATATTATAAAATATTTTATTGTGGGGGGTATATCCTCCCCTTCGACTAGGTTTCGTTCGTCTACTTCATTTATTTTTGGTTCTCTATTTTCGCACTTTGTTCTAAATCTAGATTTTTTCATTTGCATCATTTCGTAATGCGGTTGTCTTAACGACGTCAACCTGCACTTATATGTTATATAAATAAATATTATTAATATTATCGAGAATAATATTAATCCTAATGTCAAATATAACAAATAGTTACGAGTGTTGCCTACATTTTCTTGTCCTGCTTGTTTTATTATCTCGTTATCTATTTCGTTTTGTATAAAATCTAAAGAATGTGCTATTTCGTGAACTTTGTCTAAATTATGCGAATCTTTTTTAATTACCAATTTAGGTAAATTTATATCTTTTATTTTGCTAGGTACCGCAAAGACTATATTTCCCGATCCTATTTTTGGTATAAAATGTACGTAATATTTTGATCTTATGTCCTGTGTAGGACTTAGTATTATATCATTTCCGTATGCTCTACAGTCCGAATTTATCGTAATTAAACCTTGGTTTTCTATTCTCTGAATATACGGTTTCGGCGATATTCCGACACGTGATTGTCAACGTTTCGCCTTTTGTCGTATATATCCATGTATTTGCATATTTTAGTTTAAAAAAAATATCTTTTGTTAGTACCAGTAC